AATTTATTTATTTAATAATTTTTTGCTATGGTGTAGAAAATGGGGGGAGGTGGGTTGCACATTTTTAGCCCTGATAAGTTTGAATCCCTCCAAGCACAAGCAAGTTACTGGGCTTTTGGCATAATCTGCTAATGCAGACGAGCAAGTTATGTCTTGCAACGTGCAGTTAAAAATGATATGAGAAACAACTGAACGTGTGAGCAAATTACATCATCCAGATATAATTTAATGAATACAGAAGCTAAGTTATTGACTTGCAAAAAGTTTCCTGTAAGGATTAGTGTTATGCCGAGTTCACACTGCATGATTTTCAAACTCGTCGGATCGCCGTTGTTTTCACACTGTGTGACTATCTGGGGTAGCATTCAGTTGCTGCTGTGTTCACATTGCACGATGGATCGGCGACAGGGGGTTTCACATTGCATGACTTCACAATAGGAAGAATCGCCGACAGCTTTGTCTGGTGCAGGGTTGCCAGGTTTACGCTACAAAACCCACCAATTACTACTCAAAACTAGCCTGAAAATAGCCCAATTGCTTTCGAGGTGGTCCCCCAGTAAAAATCGCGTTTGGGGGGTAAAATAAATTTGTTTTTGGCGTGGTTCTCCTGGTACGATTCACATTCCAGGGCCTAAATATCACGTTATTGGGGTCGCTTCAACCTGCTGACATAAAAAACAACCGGCGGCAATCGCGGATTTGGCAACACTGGTCTGCAAACTACGTTTCATATAACTCCTCCCCGAACTTCCCTCTGCCCTGTATCTTGGTCTCTCATTGGCTGTAGGTCATCGCCGATGTGTTTTTCAGTCAGAACTCATTTCACACAGCGTGATAGTGAATCGGCGACAGCTCCAGATATTTAGCATGCCAAATATTTCACGGGTGTCGGCGACGTGTCGGCGATTCTCTCAGATCGCGTCTTTGATAATTCACACTGTGTGATTGTCACTCGCGTGAACGAGCACCGATTTGCCTCCGATTTCGGGCATTTGTCGGCGATTTCGCAAAACCTGTGGCGAGTAAAAAATCGGGCTAAAATAATAATAAATAAATAATTAATACAAAAAAATCTATATATTTCTCCACAAAAATCAATGTAATAGCAAACTTAGCATGTTTCTATTAATCTCTTGTCATATTTTTATTTTTGGGTTTGTTTAAATTAAACATGATTCATATTTATTTATTTATTTATTTTTTTGTCTTATCGCTTATCGTCTAATCGTTATCGCTCAGAATACCTAATAACCTAGTGGCTGTTCGTCGGTTCTAAGACAAAAACTTATTGAATATCAGTTAATTTGGTGTACCAAACTATCATTAAGCAAATAAGAATTAAATATCTACCCGTGTTGGGAAACAATTTTTTATTTAGTGTTTTCATAAAAGCCTTATTTTTATGAATTTTTCGTTACAAAAAAAACCAACAAAAAAACACATTCGGCTAATCACATGGGAGGACAGACTAGGATCATACCATTATGTGAAAGAAGGAAGAGGGACAGGCCAGGTACACAGAGCGACAGAGAGAGACGGGGGAGCCGGATTTAAACGCAAGCGCGTTGGTTAAGGTAGGAAGACACTGCATTTTTGCAACATCGGTCCCCTCAGAGAGAGTCTTCTCAAACACAGGACAAATAATCACAGAGAGGAGAAATCGCATTAGCACATCCAAGCTGAGGCATCTGATATTTCTGAATGCCAACCTGCACTAAAGACTAAAGTGTTATTATTAAAGTTTTATTAAAATCTGTGTATTTTTTTTGTAACAAAAAAAATGCATAAAAATAAGGCTTTTATGAAAACACTGAATAAAAAATTGCTTGCCAACACACAAACCATTCACAATTGCTAAATTGGGCTAAAATAGAACCTAAGGGAGCCGAGCCAAAAGAGACGAATCTTTGAAAAGAGCCGAACTTCCCATCACTACTAGAGTGAGCAGCAGCCGGCGGCCTAGAGTGAGGAACGGCCGGCGGGCTTGTGGCAACCACATGTGACGACCCCGGACTGGACTTTGTCCATGGTGAAAGCCACAACAATACTACAGCGAGAATAAAAGTTACGCCTTCTTTCTTTGCGTGAACATTTGGGTGGTGTTATGCAAATCTTCCCACATCGTGACGTAGACATGTGGGGGCGTGTTGGAATGAGCCATTTTAGGAGGGCGTGGTTGACTCTTAACTTTTATAAAGAATATCTCTTTGGATTTGAGACTTTAGTCTTTGCAACTTTACAGATCTTCTTTATGCACCGAGAGCTTGTAACACTCCAAAGAGAAAGGAAAAATTGAAATCGCATCATATGACCCCTTTAATTTACATAGTTATTCAAACAGCGAGTAAATTATGGAGAAAGCGAGCAAAGAACATTCGCATTGAAGAATATTATCACTGACTTCAGTCTAGCCAGAGATTAAGCACTCAAAATTCCTGTTATAATCAATGAAGCTGTCCATACACTGTATGATAAATGAATCTCTTACTTATGTAATTCATACATCTGCACTTTGTTGCTTATGATGAGAAAATTTGAATGAGATTCATTTAGCACGAGTGTGCAAAAACTCAGAGGTTTCAGCAATGACTAATGTGGACGCCTCTGATTGGCCATTGTCTTAATAAACTCAACAGAATCATGTGTGATTGGTTATAATGTGCAACGCTGTAAAAACACGTAAAAAATTGTGATGCGACATGAGCAGTTCTATTTATTACAGCAATCAACACTTTTCATTTAATTTTCATTTTCATTAGTTTCATGTTTTATAGTTTTTTTATAGTATTATAGTTTTTTTTTTAAAAACCATAGGGGACCCCCCAAGTTCATTTTAATTTAAATGAAGGAGGAAAAACTCTGTTTATAAAAATACCCGTGTACGTGTGAACTAGGCCTTAGTCTCTTATACTCTAAAAAATGCTGGGTTATTTTTTTCTACCCAACTGCTGGGTTGAGCCTGTTGGGTCATATGTTGGGTTGTTTTTCCAGTGCTGGGTAGATTTTGTGTTACCCAGCCGTTGGGTTAGTGGCTGGGTCAATATAGTTTAGTTGGGGAAAGGAATAAAAAAACGATATTAAAATACAGTGTATTTCCTGAAGATAATGTGGTTCTCAACCTTTTTGCCCCCAAGGCCCCCTATAAGGAAATATTCCAGGGCCCCCACACAAGACTTTTTGACCTCAGAGAAGCATAAAAGTGATTCAAAACAGCTTTTGTCATCGTATAAATTCCCATTCATAGCAAACATATTAGAGTGGAGTAACACATCTAATATCTCAGGAGGAGAATGGGGTTCCTCTTATGGTTCTACATAGCACCATTTGACAAAGGTGCTGTATAGCACCTTTAAAGATAGGTGCTATATAGCACTTAAAGTGGTTCCCCTATAATTGCAAGCCAATTAATCACTTTTAGTGCTATTTAGCACCATTTTTTAGAGTGTAGGCTAATAATAACATGGAGAGATTAAAAAAAAAAAAAAAAGTTTCCATGGATCTAGTCTTTGCATCTGTTTATTTTGTTTGATGTTTGAATCAGGTCTCATCTGTTCGAATACAACTGGCTCGGGTCTTAGAAATGCGGTCCTGAAACTGCTGCCTCCGTTATTGCAGTAATGTAGTATTGAGGCCTCCCTGTGGCTTCGTTTCAGATAGTTGGATATTTGAGCTGAGGGTGGAGTGATTAGGAAAACACGCCTCTTCTCATTTATACAACTTCAAAGAAGAGACGTCAGGAGTCTGGCAGCGGCACGCATAAGGGCTTCGCTAACTTCACCTAACTCATTTTTATTTCAATGGAATTTCCGACTTAATTTTCTGGACTTACACAACCGCAGAAATGACTCTACCGTACTCCCAAAGCGTAAGGACACTGAAGACAGTGACCGTCGCGGAACCGAGCACACAGACTGTCTTCACATCCACTCCTGTCGGGATGAGCGAAGGTTCGTCGATTTACCGAACGGTAAATTTTGCGGAAGCTCAGCTACAGCCGGTCCAGTACATTAACAGCCAAGTCGAGGCGGGAGCTCAGCTACAGCAGGTCCAGTACCTTAATAGCCAAGTGGAGGCGGGAGCTCAGCTACAGCCGGTCCAGTACATTAACAGCCAAGTGGAGGGGAACGTGATGTACGGTGGTGCGCGTTACCTGGTGCCTGTGCAGCAGCGGCGGCCCGCGGAGTCAATCATGTACCTGAGTCAGGCGCCGCGCGTCATGCAACCTGTGTACTTCCAGAACGTTCAGCCCGTCAGCGTCAGCAGCGTCGACGAAACCGATGTCTACAGACAAGTAGTGAGTGTTCATTTTTGCTTCTTTTCTTACTTTTTGTGTTACATTAGTATCCAAAGGTTACATGTCATTAAAATAGAATTTAATTAACTAATTAATATATATTAGTTACAATGTAACTGCTTACAGGGTTCCAGGTAGTTTGGAAAAGTGGAAAAAATAACCAAAATTGGCAAATGAAAAGATGGTGCTGATAAGATGCTGTCGTGTCAATACAGCTGTATTAAAGTTAAATGTCAGCACATAATGTAATTCAAAAGTTTTAGGTTTCTTTAGCGCCCCCCCAAGATCAGACATGATTGTAGGGCTACTGTACCAAGTTTTATGAAAAATGACATTGCGCTTACAAGATACAGATCAATTAGTCAATATGGGTCACACCTACACAAAAATATTTATTTAATTAAAAATTCAAAGTGTCAGATATGACCAGGGTTTAAACTGGGCCGGTGTTGTGCCGAATTCTGCACCCCTGCCAGATTATGCACCCCCTCGTTGAAGTCGCTACCTGATTGTCTAATCCCAACCCCACCCCTAATCCTAACCCCTCCCCCACACCTACTCCTAAACCTACCAATACTAGGGGATGCATAATCTGGCAGGGTGCAAATGTCGGCACTACACCGGGGCCGTCCGGGGCTGTGCCCCGGCACATAGACTCCAGGGCTCAACATTAACGCTTCATTAACGCCAGACAAGTAACATGATTAAAACATCAGTAACCAAAAATAACTATGTAAACACAAAACGCAAGTATTATTCTGGTTTTATTATATTTAGAGTAAGTGGCGAATAGTGGATATAGTTACTGTATATAATGCATCTATTGACAGTATAAGGTTGCGATGCTGAGGCGACCAGCCGAATCATTGCTAATTGATTCTAACTGATTCTAAATGCTAATTGATGAAGTCAAAGTTTCATTAGCCCATGCATAAACATCTGATGAATCTGCCGTTTGAACAAATCATTTGAATGATGACTCAATGACTCACTCATTAAACACTCACTACTGGCACCTACTGGCGTTTTAATTTCGTTGAAAAGTATAATTTCCACCATCATTTATTGTTTGTATATTCAAAAATATTTTAAATAATCTCATAATATTATTTAAGGCAGTTGTATTTTTCAGTGTAAATGATTTAATTGGATAACGTATAGATAATCACATTATTATAATTGAATTTATAGATCAAATGTAAGAATTTGAAATGAAAGTATTAATGAGATTAGTGGGAAAAGAATAAATAATTTGCAAAAAAACAAAAAAAACACACACACACACACACATAACAAATCCCAATTTAACCCCTGGAGATAACCATTTAATATGCAGTCACATTTTTAAACCTTACTAGCTAATTATAACTAGACCTACATCTCTCAGTAAAATTTGGTCTACAGCCTATGATGCTATTGTATGCTAAATTTTATGAAAATTAGCCTTGTAGAATTTAAATGTGTTGATGTGAATTGGAGAAACTGGGGTTGGTTGACAATGGTTGACAATACGCATGGGCTATACTGTATCTTAATTACGGTATTGTTTAGAGTTGTAAGTGCAAATAAATAAATGTTTGTTATCTCTAGCAGAGGTGTTGTATGTTTGTTTCAAACATCTAGAAATGTAAATTCTGTCTTCCAAACTAAAATTCCAATTTCATCATATTTTTGCTATGAACGCATTAACACAATAAAACCAGACTGGTATAGACTTAGGCAAAAGTCAGCTATACGATGAAAGTAGATTTTAACTGACAGATTGAACGTTTAACTGTTTAAATTTTGCTGAAAAGCCTGTAATATGCTGTTTAAAATCAGGTTCTGCTGTGACAAAATACCCCATTTGATACCACACCCTACTATTAATCAGTGTATGTTTATTGATCTGTATCTTTTTTTTTTTCTTTTTTCTGAGCAGTAGTGGTGGACATGTTCAATGGTTTATTTGTAGTCAACAAAGTTTCTGTTTATTCACTGGAGTAAAGAGTGTGGCAACTAAAAGCTTCCCTATAAATAAAACATACAAAATTATAAAACATTTCATTGTATATTGCCTACATTATACATAAATTAACCTAGGATGTTTGATAATGTTATAATTATAACGTATAATTATTATAACATATAATAATATTATTATAAATGTAGTATTTTTTCCTTTGTACTATATAATTGTAAATCTGAATTTATAATAGACACCAAACATACCAAAAACATTAAATCTATTAAAGATACAGGTTACAAAAATTAGTGCACAGTACAATTTATACATATATAATATATATTATAAATTGACTTTTTAGCACAAGACAATGCATTCAAGAAGCCCTTATTCATTGATGTTTTCTTCTTCTGTATTCAGAACATAAATGGACAAACATCTGTCTTCAGCCAGTTATCCAGTCCAGTCAAGAGCCCTGAACCATATGAGGTAATGAAATAACGTTTACCGTGTATGCAAACAGGCACATATAATCAGTAATGTTTAAGGCAGAAAACTGTTTGTATTCGCTTATACGGTTAGCACACAAACACACACGTTATGTTACCCTTGACTTGACTTTCATGCCTTTACACGAGGTACTGTATTACACACACTTTCTTCTGGGTTTGTTCATGCCTCTGGCTTGTGAGCTGAGCGGGGAGAACAAGCTTTAATGTAACCCAGGCTTTAGTGTGTAGTTGCACGCACATGCTAATATGACAACAATTTATGCGTTTGAGCACAAGTGCAGTACCTGCAGGGTTTAGGGTGTGTCAGACAGAAAGAATGGACTCGTTAATTCCCAGAAGAGACAGTGTGTTAACGCCCATTTAGATTAGACCCAACAATATTCATAATATTGCAAGGAAAGTGTTAAAGGGAGTTGCCCTTTAACGCAACTGTTGCTGTCAACCAGCCTGCAGGTGATAAGAAGATGACAGGTGTATGTTGGAAGACCTTAAATGTGTACTACCAAACAAACACCTTGCTTTATATGATGAAATATTATTTTAACATGCCACAGAGCTGTGATCACACTAATAACGTTTTTCAAAAGTCAGTGTACTTGTTTTTACATGTTTTGTGTATCTAAATATGAAATTAGGCTATATTAAATATGGGAAACAGAATAAGATGTCACTCTAAAATTTCTTTTTTTAATAAACAAAATGTTCAATTTCAAAATGTGAAAACAGACTCTAAACTGAAAACCTAAAAACCTGCAGCTATGAAATGTATATTTGTATTGTGCCATAAGGTCAGTCTCTGACATTTATACGTTTCCTTCATTCAAGAACGTCTTTTCACTGTACAAATTCGCAGGTCTTTCAAACATAAATGTTGGTACGCAGCAGAAGACAAAACATGGTTGCATTCATTTTGTGAGTTTCTAGCAGCTTTCTAGCAGCTTTATTTTTAAGATGGTCTGTATAGGTGCTGAAAATTCATTCTGTGAGTTTAACCAATGGACGTGAAGGTGTATTGTGTGCCATGTAAGGTTGAGTCATCAGCCTTTCATGAAGCAGTTTGAAAAGCATTACACGCAATGATTTAAAGAGAGTTGTCATAGGGTTGTGCTTGCAGACATGCTGGGACAGGAGTTGGGAGCTTATCGTCAAGTTTCGTACATCAAGGAGAATTTTGTTGTAATTAGGCGTCTTGCACTCAAACACACTTGGGTTGTCTTAAATTTTAGGTTTGTAATGTGAGATAGCATTAAAGGCTGGTCAGGAGTTTCACATGGTGTTATTATGATGTTATTGGTCTGACACAATGAAGCAGTTTGAAAAGCATTACACGCAATGATTTAAAGAGCGTTGTCATAGGGTTGTGCTTGCAGACATGCTGGGACAGGAGTTGGGAGCTTAGCGTCAAGTTTCGTACATCAAGGAGAATTTTGTTGTAATTAGGCGTCTTGAACTCAAACACACTTGGGTTGTCTTAAATTTTAGGTTTGTAATGTGAGATAGCATTAAAGGCTGGTCAGGAGTTTCACATGATGTTATTATGATGTTATTGGTCTGACACATGCAGTGATAAATACAAAAATGGACTTGAGTTCCTGAGTATTTCATGAGAAGAAAGTGTAATGCATAACTTAATGTTGAGGTTCTTTTATGTTGAAATACAAGAACTGAAGCAACTATTGTGAAGTAGACTCATTGGTCAGCAGCAGACGTGATATAATACAGAAGTAATTATATTTGCTGAGGTCAGACTTTGGTTTAACTATGTTAAATAACAATTAATAATCAAATATTTATGTGCATTTGAATATTTCATACTAGTTACTCAGAAAATAGGATTTGAGCTCATGAGTGGAGACATTTGTCAGGAAAGAATGAAAATGTATTTAAAATGATAA